TAGAGACGGGGTTTCACCGTGTTGACCAGGATGGTCTTGATCTCTTGACCTCGTGATCCACCCGCCTCGGCCTCCCACAGTGCTGGGATTACAGGCTTGAGCCACCGTGCCTGGCCTATTTTATTCTTAAAGAAACCTTAATTCAGGTAAAATTTGATAATTCAATGCTGTTTTGTAATTGGATTTATTTTACTTAAGATTATATGCTAAATAATTGTCTTGACCATTAAATATATCTCAAAACATAATTTAAAGTAATTGCTTAATATTTTATTACGTTGATGTAATAATCCTCTGTTGTAGGTTACTTAGTTTATTTAAAAAGTATCACTCTCTTAAATATAGGTAAGATGAAGAAATCAGTGATTTTTTTTTAGAACAAATTTCTGCGAAAGAAATTACTAGATATTTAAGTGTTTAAACTTCTGATTTTTTTCCCAAATACTCCACAGAAATATGGCACCAATTTACATTCTAATTACCTTTATCCCTTAATTTATCTGAACTTAAAAAACAAAAAATTGCATCATTAATATGTGCCAAAACTAGTGGGTTATCCTTTGGTGAGAAATAAAGTAGTTAAAAATTAGAAAATATCCCTTTGCAAATTTATATTTTAAACCAAAAAAGTAAGTTTACAAAGAAAAACCTAACAGATGTAACTTCAACAAAGAATTAAAGTTAATCTCACCAGTAATGGGATAAAACTGCAAGAGTCAGTAAAAAGCCATCTCAATTCCATGGTATTCCTACCAATAATACACCTAACCTGAATCTCAGACAACCAAATACAGCTAGTGCTCAACTTACGACCACGATTGGTTCCGACAGAATGGTCATAACACAATTTGGTCATAAGTTGAGTAGGCTATATGTACAGTACTGTGAAATGATATTATAAAAATCTTTAAGTCATATTTTATCATAATTTTATTTCATTATTGTTATATATCATGATTTTCTTTGTTTATTTTATGCCATTTGTATCATCTCTACATCATTTTGTTTCTTATTTTTACATTCTTCAGGTCTAAGTAAAACACTGCATTACCAGTACAACTGGTTTAATATTTGCAAAACATACAAAATTACAAAATACGGGTGCATACAAAAATACAAAA